CTTTGGGTCATGCCTTGGTCACATTGGTCACCTCCAAGGCATCTGCTGGCTTGTCCTCCAAGCCCCCTCAAGTCAGCAACTCTGTGACTTTCATGCCATGCTTGGGGCACTGCCATCTTTGGTAACATGGGGGCCACTGTGCCAGGTTCCAAGCACTCTGGTAACTACCCTTTGCCTCCGGAGGCATGGAGTGGGAGGGCACTCTCATACTTCCCTTTGGAAATGTTCCCCAAAGTCCCCCCACTTCTCTCCCTGGCATTATCTCTTCCATAGTTTTAAAATTTCCCTAAGAAAAAGTCTTTATAAAATCCGTCAGCAAGGTAGCACAAAGCCTGCTGTAAATGGAGAGGGAGTGGAGAAGGGAAAAATACAGAAAAACACAAATGAATATTTCAATAAATTACCATGCCATGAATGTCCAACGTGCTTAGGAAATGCTGATGTTGTAAATGAGGAGCAGCAAGAGGCAGGGGTCCTGGAAAGATGGTTTGGAATGGTCTGCCCAGGGGCTGGCAGGGGTGAAAAGGGAAATCGATTAAGACACCCAGCAGTCATTGAGTGCCAGGTCATGCTTGCTGGTGGCCTGTCCCTCCAGGCAGCTATGGCTGCCTTCATTTTATACGTGGAGAAAGCAGGGCTCATGGAGGTGATGTGACTGCCTCAAGTCACATAGGTCCGTCTGGTCTGTCTGAGCCCTCAGCCTGACTGGCAGTCTGGAAAAGAGACGGGAGGGAACTGTGACCCACTGTGACTGTCTGGCTTTTGGCTTTGTGACCTTGGGTCAGCCAACATGACTCTATGACCCTGAGTAGTTATGTTACCTTTCTCTGCCTCAGTTTCCTTTCCTATAAAACACAGGTAATAATGGCCCTGTCTCACAGGCTGTGTGAGGGGAGATGAGTAAAGCGCCGAGAGTGTGGCCTGGCCTGGAGAGAGGTGTCTGTGAACTGTGGCTCCTGCTGTGGTGGGCCTGAGTGGGGGTGCAGGGGTGGCAGGGGCGTGAGACCGGTTGTTTGGAGCTGGAGAGCTTCTGGGTCATCTGGATGGGACCTTGGGGGTTGACCAGGGCCCTGAGTTAAGAAATACTTGAGAGGGAGGAGCAGCTTGGGGAGCCAGGGAGGGTGATAGAGACCAGTGAGGGGGCAGTAGGAGTGGGCGTGGGTGGAGCCCGAGGGTCCATCAGCCCTCTCTCCCCTCAGGAAGGGAGGGAGAGGGGTCTCTGTGGCCCACACTGGGCAGGAGGGCAAAGGTAGCATCAGAAAGTGAAACAGAATAATAGCGGGCATTTCTTTCCTCCCTCCTCTTCCCGCTCCCTTGTTTTCTTTCCTGCCTCTCTCCTTCCATCCCTCTCTTTCTCTACCCCTTTTCCCACCCCTTTCTGTCTTTCCCACCTTGTTCTAAAAAGCCTGCAAAGAAGAGTCTGCTCTCAGACATGCCATGAGTAGCCCACTTGTGTACTTGCGGTTTACCTACCTGTAGAAAATTTTGTACCCTAAGATCACCACATACTGTGGGCAAATCGTTTTTGATTCAGCTCCACAAATATTTACTGTGCTCTGGTTAACTGAGCCTACTTTGTGCTGGAGTTGCCAGAGAGATGCAAATGGGCAAAGCCAGTCCTCAGAGGAGCCAGTCTGGGGCTCTGGCTGATGTTGGCAGAAGACCTGTCCCTTGCCCCCAAAGATGCTAAAGAGCTCTCTGTCTACCAGTGCCCTGGGCCCACTTTTCTCTCCAACAAAGTGCAGAAAGAGGCATGACTGGCAGTTCCACAAGATCCTGACAAGACAGTACACTGAAGGCATAATCTACAGAAACAAGGCAGAGCTCAGCCTGCAGGTGTCAGAGGGCTGCTGATGGCACACACGAGCTGGAATTGTGATTTGCCTCTATTTCTTGCTCTCCTATGAATTTTCAAGATCAACGTAAATAGAACTTTCTACTCCACAGAGTTTTCAGGGCCATACCAGGCTGTGAAACAGACAGGCCCCAGTTTCATTTGCATATTGTTTAATTTGGAGAGGAAGTTTCCTGCTCAACCATCATCCAAGGCACAGCCAGCTCCCAGAATGAGAACAGAGTCGATTTACAGAAGCTCTTGGGGTGAAGTGAAATTTGGAAAAATAAGATCCGAAGAGTGACCGGGGGTTGCAGCCAGGAAGATGGTTCCCCAAATGCCTTAGGCTCCCTAACTTCCCCACCTGGGTGTGACGGAGAGCAGCTGGTTAATAGTTCTGACCGATAAACGATGAACAGAAGTGACATGTGCTTCTTTTGGGTGGGATCACTGAATGTCTGGGTGAGACCTTCCTAGCTGCTTTCCCTCAGGCATCGCAACCAGCATTGTTCTAGATGGGGGCTGCTGCAGCCTCACCTTTGAGAAATACTACATGTACAGCCCCTCTGCGGACCCACAGCAGACGTGTCGTGGAGTGAGATGAAAGCCCTGTTGTTTTAAGCCACTGCCACTGGGGCTTGTTTGTTACTGCAACATATCTTCACCTGTCCTGACTGGTACATTGGGGAAACAAAAAGCCTGATTTGAGAGGCAGTCTCCCCTCTTCCTCACTTCAAAGTTCAAAGTATCGAGTCTTTCTCCTCAGTCTTATCAGCCAACATTGCCTTTTGTCTGGTCAATATTTATCATGTACCATGAGTAAAAGAGGTATTAAAGTTTTGTTAGCATAGGAATGGAGAGAAAGCAATGAGTCTACTTGTGGTTGATAAGTTTACAGTGTAACAAGGGAGTCAAGAAATAGAACATTTCTCTCATCCCTATTGCACACAGAATGACAGAATCACTGAACATTACCACTGACCGTTCCCATTGACTTTAGAGGTGATCTAATTTAACTTCGTAACCCAAAAGGCATCACCTCTCCATTTCTGACTTATTTGTTTCTATCTGGTGTCAGTCACTATGCTAAACACTAGAGAGAGAGACAGAGATAAATAACACACAGCCTAGTGGGTAGTGGCCCAAGAGTAGTGCTTAGAGCACAGAGGAGGAAAGAGGCTACTTCAGGTTAGAAATCAGGGAGGGTTTCTGGAAAGAGGTGGTAGTTTACCTGCCAGAGCTTTATCCCTCACTGTATGTCTGGGGTGATTCCGGATTGTGGGAATGCAAAAATGGATGCTGGGCTTGATCCACCATCTTTCCCAACATTCTTCCCTCCCTGACCCACCACAGATTCAGACTGCTTATGTCTCCCTTGGCTCTGGGACTTCCCGGACTGCCTTACGCATGTCCAGACTTTTGTACAAGTACAGTGTGGTCTCACGCCTGGACGGTGAGAGGTCAGTTGAGTTGCCTGGGAGCAAATCCCTTTCCCTCCCTGCTCTGTAAGACCAGGAGTTAAGTGAGAGCCTGACATTCTAAGCAAAGTGCTGCAGGTGCTCAAGGATTCCCTGCCTTGGCTGGGGCAGGTGGTAATGTGTTCGGCTCCCATCCCCAATCTCTTGGGCTGGGTAGGGGGTGGAATCACTGAAGAATGACTTTGTACTGGAGCTTGTACAGCTCTGCTGCCTTTAGCAAGCAACTCATTCACAAGGGAGTGCAAATTAATACCATAATACCGGCTACATAAATATTGTGCGATAATTGATTGCCTTATGTAATCAAAGGCAAGGCTACTGACTTAGTTGCTTTCCGTACCTTGCAACTGCTGGAGGAAAGAAGAAAACAGGTTGTAGAGGTGGTTTTTGCTGCAAGTATCTGTTTACAAGTTGTGTCTCTGATGTATTGAGAAGAAGTTAAGGCCCTTTCCATTCAGATTCAGTATTTGTCAAATGCCTATTATGTGAGAGGCACTGAAAGACACATTCTCTTATTGAATTATTAATTGAGTTAATGGTTGTAATTTTTTGATAATATGGCACAAAAGTCAGTCTTTACAATATCATTTCTTTCCTGGTATATATTACTGTTGGAATTTAAATACTTTAATTTTGAAAAACACAGCGTCAGCATAGGGAGGATAAAAGGATATGACAGCCCCTATCTCATTGCTTACAGAATGAGGAATTTCAAAGTCAAGAAGGGCAGAAGAACAAGATTTTCGTTCCTAGGAACTGTATTAGTGGACAATAATAATGGATTTTCTCCAGTTGGTACTGAGTAGGTGAGCCAGTGATCTCCCTACAATTTGCCTACGTCCACTTTATTGATTGCTGAACAACCGAAACGCACGGAATTGGAAATCTTAAATCTCTTCACACAGTGCAAGAAAGCATCGCCATCTTTCCATGTACTTGCCAACGCTAAGGCCGGCTCGGTTTTCCAGCAGTTGCTTAGATGTGCATGACTTGCTGGCGGCATCCTCCCACGTCCACCCTGCAGACTCATGCAATTTGGAGAATTTGAAGAGAGCTCTGTCTTTTGGGAAGCCAGAGTTTTAAAAAAATCCACACACCCCTTTGCCTTATTGAGGGGGTGGGTGTCAGAGACTCGGCATAAATCCCCTGGAAAGCTCAACTGTCGCCTGAACCCTGCGGATGGTGCAGTTTCCCTAATCTTGACCCGAAGTCGGCCGTCTTCAACCCCTTTCCAAACTGTCGCTCAGCCTGGGCTGCCTTCGAAAGAATAACGAAAGAGCCAGGTTCTGAGCGTCGGGAAAAGGGCACCGGCTCACTGGCAGCTGGGGGCCACGTCCCGGCTACCTGCCCGGGGACTTTGAATGATCGCGTGCTACCAGACCCCTCCAGGTTCCCAGGGCGCAACTCGCTCCCCTCCACTTTGCTCTCAAACGCCGGCAGGAGTGGGTGGCAGCACCGAGGCGATTTTATTCGTATTTTTTTCCTCCGGGCTTTGTCATGGAAACGCTGACACAGGCTCCAGACGCCGGCCGAAGGCCGGCGGGGGACTGAGGGCTTTTGGGACCCTGCGGGAGCGCGGCGCGCACTCCGCACTCCCCGGGAAACAGCTGGACGCGACCAAGTCCCGGGCAGGGGCGGGGGGAACGCGACGCTCCTCCCCGGCGCGCGGGCCCCTCCCTCCGCCCGGCCTCCGCGGGTGCCCTCCCCTCGCCGGGGGCCGCGAGCTGCATTTGGTCAAACCCAGCCCCGGAATATATAGATCATTGGAGCGCAATGAAGTAGCCTCTGGAGAGGAGGGAGGGGGCCGTCCGACTGCCACAGCGGCCGGCGCAGCGGCGGCCCGGCGGCACCACCGTCACCGCGCGCACCCGGCGCCTGGCCCGCGAGGAGGCAGCGGCGGCGGCCGGCGGAGCGGAGGCGGCAGCGGGGAGGCGAGGAGGAGCCGCGGGAGGAGCAGGAGCGCGCAGCCGGCGGGTCCCCGCGTCTCGGCACTTCCAGAGCAACTCCGGCGCCTTCCACACGCCCTTGCGGGGCTGGCGGCTCCTGGAGCGGCCGCGACGCCAGCCGCATAGTGTCCCCGAGCCCTGCCCAGCCCTGCCCCGCGCCTCCCGGGCTCCGCTCCGCGCGGCGGGGTCCCGGTCCCTGCGCCCCGGGCGCGCCTCCTGGACTCCCAGGTCTCTGCAGTCAGGACAAAGCCATGAAGCCGGCGCTGCTGGAAGTGATGAGGATGAACAGAATTTGCCGGATGGTGCTGGCCACTTGCTTGGGATCCTTTATCCTGGTCATCTTCTATTTCCAAAGTATGTTGCACCCAGGTAGGGGGCGCGTTAGCGTGGTTTTGTTGGATATTTTCTTCTCTCTCGCGCTCTCGCTCGCTCGCCCCGCCTGGTTTCTGCCTCTTCCAACCTTATCTCTTTCCCTCGGCTACCTCGGGGCTCCCTGCTGCTGCCCGGGTCTCCCCGGGTCACCGACGCGGGATGGGGAGGAGGGGGAAGATATGCTCTCTCCTCTCCCTCCTTCCGGCTACAGGCTGGAGCATGGGATCAGGAGGGGCGGTAGTTTTTTTTTTCTTTCTTTCTTTTCTTTTCTGTTTCTTTGTGTCTCTTGTCTGTCTGCCTGCCAGATAGCAGGGCCAGGTAGAGACTGTGGGAAGCGGCTGGGGGTGGAGGGTCTATTTGAAGAGAACTCAGCTCCCTCCGGGCTCAGGCCGAAGTCTGAGAATGAAAGAGGCGTCGGGAGCCGGCCACCCTGCGCCCGGGCACGCTGCCTCTTCCTGGTTGGGGGGCCTGGGGCGAAGGGTGCGCGCCCCAGCGAGGTGGCGAGTCTCACCGGGACCTGGGGAGCGCGGGGCCAGGCTCCCCCACGTGTCCGGCGCTCGGCGCAGCGCAGACTCGGGAAGAGGCTGGGTGCCCCGCGCAGCCCCTCCACCCAGCTGGGGAAGGGTGCTCCGCACCGGCTGTTTGCTCCCGGGGTCCAGCCCCGCACTGACCTTGTGGCTGATGCCTGGGGCCTGCTTCAACATCCCCCCACCCCCATCCCGATCTCCTTTCCAGACCCTGCGCTGGTCAGAGCTCCTGGGTCACGCCTTGGCCATCGCAGTTTTGGAGGAAACTTTGGCCGAGTCCAGGCTGACCGTCAGGTTGCATACCCTACTCCTGGGCTCCGAGCATCCCGAGTCCCCCGGAGTCCCCCGGGCCGCGTGGGAGTGAGCCCCTTACCCAGTCCGCGGAGACAGACAGGTTCCGCGTCTTAAATCGGAACGGGGGAGGAACGAGACTCTCCCTTTCCGAGGGGCGCGAAGGAAAGTTTGGGACCTAGGAAGGGAGGACGCCCTGTAGCGAGGCGTCCTCGGGTTCGAAGCTCGGCTCCGAAGCCCAACAGGTGAAACCTTCCAAGAAAACTTCCAGGGTAACGAGGGTCTCCCTGCGGATCCATGGTTCCCCGGTACCCACCTCCCGGCAGGGCCCCGTAGGCCACGATGGCTCCAAAATCCATTTTTTACGCCTCCGAGTTGCCTTTCTCGGTATCCTCACAGCAACAATTTGCTTTTATAATTGTAAGGAGGAGGGAGCTGGAAACACATTTCTTTCCAGGGAAATGGGGTTGGTGTTTTTCTCTTAGCCTCCCTCGTTCTCCCTTCAGTGTGTATCTGACACTTTCAGCAGACGAAGCCCTGAATTCATCTAGCCTGCATGTGGGTCGATGGCAGAGGAATAAAGCTGTTCTTTCCATCAAGCAGGGCTGCCCGGTGTGAGATTCCTTGACAACGCGGGGACAGAACGGCCCCTCTGCCCGCTCAGCCTCTAGCAGTTGTTAAGGCGGCCACACTGCAAAGGATATGGTGTAAACCTCAGGACATCCGAGCCAGTCTTGGAGAAGATGGCTTTTGTTTGCTCTTGGGTATTTTTAGTTTCATGTCAGCAAACTACATGGGTGTTTGTCTCCTCACCCAAACTGGTGGTTGTGAAACTTCTAAGGGAATTTAAAACTGGACCTTGCTTGCATTCCTGCAGCCAGGCCAGTGCACCCAGCAGGACCAGACATACAGTGGCATCCCAGAGCCCAGGCCAGACTCCACCCAGAGGGCTGGGGGACTGGGTGGTGTGCAAATACACTGGAGCTCTAACAGTTTAAACAAAGGGATGAATGATTCGGTCTAGACTCTAGAGATGTGTTTGGAACACTTAGAGTTGCCTGGACTGAGCATGCCAGGTAATTCTCTGCAGAAATGTCAGGAACGGGTGAATACCATTCTTCCACAGGAATTCATTTTAACTTCCCTGTACCTGTTAGTTGCCCAGAGACATGCTAATCCTGCTACTACTCTCCATGCTTCTCATGCAACCTCTGTTTTTCTTTTCCTGTGTGTGGATTAGGAAACAACTTTTTAGGCAGAGATACCAGAAAGAAACATCTAACTTATAACTGGCACTTTGCTAAAATTTCCAGCCCTAGTTAGAATATTAAGTTGACTTGAAAGTGGCGTTAGCCCTTTTCTGTCCAGCCTGTTGGAACCAGGGACGACCTTTGCTAAGGCTGTCCGGATAAGGATCCTCTGTCCCTGACCCTCTGCTCTCAGCTTTTGCTTCCCTTCCTGGTCCCATTTCCTCCCGAGAAATGGCATTTGTTTATTATGGACTCTGTAGGAGTATGCCCTTCTGATATTTTTTTCCCAGTCCATAGCAAATACTACTTTGAATACATTCTGTTGAATGCAGTACTGCTGGTAGTTCAGTTGAAAGGTCTTCCTTATTGTGAATTATGTGTGGTTTCACAAAAACTCCATGTCAACAGTATTATTGTGTATATATGGGATATAGTATACATGTTCCAATAGTATATACATGGGACAAAAAGATATGTTTTGAAATCCATATTAAACATTTTCTTTTTTTTCCACTTCATTAAAGTCCATTGTTGTAGATGGCCAATGGTAAATCCTTTTCCTACTGCTTTGAATTTCTTTACAAGTTAGCTGATCCTTGCTTCTTTGAAGGATTTAGGTAATGGTAGCTGATTCTTTAGCCTGGCTCTGTAGTTTCAGTCTTTTCAGATCACCCTGGGAGAGGCAGAAGGGACCACAGCATGGCACAGATTGTGTTGCTAAAAATTTGGAGCCCTCTGGCAAGAGTTCCCGGTACCTATATCTGAAATAGAAAATAGTATTCTGAAAGAAATGGATTTCTGACTTTATTGGTGGCTGAATACCTGGAGTGTGAGAGGTGAGAGAGGAGTAAGAGGAGAGGAGACAGCTGGTGGGGGTGGCTGGCTGTATCCCCCTGTGATTCTGATCTGGGGTCTTTTGTCTTTTCTACTTACCTAATTCATAAACTTGAATAATTCGTAAACTTGAGTAATTGATCTTTAATTTGGTTGGAGGGTTCAGCAGAAGCCATCCTTGTTAGTACAGCAGTTTTCTTTGGATCTTGGATACTCTGAGTAGTCTTTGTTAATATTTTTTTAGGGCAGAGATCAGGTTTTAGATTCCATTCTAATCCTGATGTTTTGCATAATGTCTGACACATAGTAGGTTCCTAATAAAATATTTGCTGGATGAATGCATGAAGTGGCTACATTCTAGAAGACCCTCTTCTCTGGTTTTCAGGAAGGCTGTGTCAAGCCTTGCTGCGAATGCTTGTCAGTGAGTCTGGTCTGCCTAGTAGGGACACCCCCTGCCTGCCTGGCCTCTGAGATGCCCTCCAAGATGCAGATTCTGTTTAAGGTCATTATGCAGTGGACAGGAGCATTGCCCATGGCCTAGATGCTTCTCCAAGGTGCAAGGCAGCTGGAGCACTGCTTAGTGTCCTGGGTGCTGGGGATGCTTGGCCTCATTTAGCCACTGACCTGAAGACAGGCATCCGCAGGACAGACACCTTCTGTGGGTGTGAACTGCACCTGAATTCAGAGAGAACGGATTCACATGCCTGTGGTTTCTGCACACGTTTGAGTCCATTGGTGAATGCATCCTGTCAGAGTCCTCCCGCACCTTAAAGCGTTGGCATACCTGCCCCAGACAGCTGGGCTTTGATGGAGCTGTGTCATGCACAGCAAAGCTGAGAGGCCCCCAGGCTGCATTGGTGTTGAGTGTGTGAAGACAGCTCCTCTGAACCTTCCTTTTGTGCTACTCTGTAGGATTGTGGTTTTGTTTGAAAGCTCCTGTTCATAGGAGAGAAGCCTGTGGAGGAGAAATCCTTTTTTCTTTCTCTTCCTCTCTTTTTTTCCTTTTGCAGTATGTTTACTTTCACTGTCACCTGTGATTTCTTTGCCTTGGCTGCATGTATTGAAAGATTATAACCATGATTTAAAGACTTCCTGGGTTACCCCTTTGTACTTCTACTTGATTAGATTGAATGTAAAGCATTTTTTTCTGTGTGTTGTAATTTTAACCTTATTATAAACATAATATGTGCTCATTTTAGAACATTTAGAAAGTACAAAAGAGAAACAATCACCCGTTAGTCCACCACCCAGAGGCGGTTGGTACTTTTTCTATATGTTATAGAATATATATATTCTATATATTAAAAAGTAGTTGAGATCACATCATGCCTCTTGTTCCATGTTGGATATTGTGTGATTTAGACAAATAAATCATCATGGTGACTAGTTGTTAAGTTTAAAGACAGAAAATTTAACCACAATCATTTTAATCTGTACACTTGCGTATGCCTCCTCCCTCCCACCCCTACCCCTTTGCAGGATGTCAGGGTGGTGGTGTGGTGTTTTTGCTGCACACATTTAATTTTAAAGAATCTTTTTGCTCATACATGAATCGAGTTTGGAGACACTTCCTTTGAAAAGCTGTCAGGAGGGTCTCAAATTTGAGACTGTTACAAATCCTGAAAATAGTATTAAATAACTGAAGAGTAAGACATTTCCGGGATGGGGAGGGTCTCTCCCCTTGGCGGTTTAAATGTGCCTCCCTGGGGCATTTTCATAGCTGCAGGAGACAGATCCACTTAGGTAATTTGCTCCGACAGTTACAGCGGCTGTTCAGGACTCCTCTTTTTGTTGCTGCCTGAAATAAAAGTGGGGGTTCTGTGGGGTGTGGGGTGAGGGAATTCATCCTCCAGCAGAGGTGGCTGATGTTAATATCTTTCTGTTTGAAAAGTCATTTTGCTTGTGACCAGCTCTATCAGCACAGCCATTTAAAAACAGGAAATCAAAGGCCTACAAACGCAGACACCACCCTTTCCCCTCCAAAATCCACCAAAAGGAGAAACTCTTTAATCTTAAGGGAGTCAGGGTAAGTGACCAGAAGGCTCTCATGAGCGTCATTGCTAGTAGGCCGCTTATAAGTTCAGATTCTGAGAAA